ACTCGCTGCGCGCCGCGCCCCAGCGCCGCCTGGCGGCCACGGTGTTTAATGCTCTCCCAGCGCTCCCAGTGTCCTCCCAGTGCTCCCAGTGCCCTCCCAGCGCCTTCCCAGTGCCTCAATGTCCTCCCAGTGCCTTCCCAGTGCCCTAGTGTCCTCCCAGTGCCCCAGTGTCCTTCCTCTGTTCTCCTCCCAGTGCCCTCTGAGTACCCTCTGAGTGCCCTCCCAGTGCTCCAATGTCCTCCCAGTGCCCCAGTGCCTTCCTCTGTTCTCCTCCCAGTGCCGCCCCAGTGTCCCAATGTCCTCCCAGTGCCTTCCCAGTGCCCCAGTGTCCTTCCTCTGTTCTCTTCCCAGTGCCCTCCCAGTGCCGCAGTGTCCCTTCCTCTGTTCTCTTCCCAGTGCCCTCCCAGTGCTCCAGTGCCTTCCCAGTGCCCGTGTCCTTCCTCTGTTCTCCTCCCAGTGCTCCAGTATCTTCCCAATGCTCCCAGTGTCCTCCCAGTCCTGCAGTGTCCTCCCAGTATAGTCCTCCCAATTCCCCAAGTGTCCTTCCAGTGCCCTCTCTGAGTCCCCAAGGCTGATCTGACCAATGCACCCTGCCCTCCCCAGTGCTCCCAGTGCCTCCATCTCAGTGTCACCCAGTGTCCCATTACTCCTAGTGCTTCCCATTCCCATGATCCAGAGTCCTCCCAGTGCTCCCAGCTCTCCCAGTTCCAGCCCTTCAGGGTCTCACAGGGCTGTACCCAGGGCAGCAGCCTTGTTGAGGGCTGACGAGGCCTCAGGAACCAGGGAGATGCCACAATGCCCAGGTCTTCTCCCCAGTGTCTCCCCAAAACCTGAACACTCCCCCTATTTCCATGCCCTCCCAAAATCCCAGGGGTCCCTCTGGACACCTCAACAGCGTCAGGGTGAATGGCCCCACCTTCCCTAATGAGCAAAGCCTCATTAAATGCTGATTGCAGAGAGATTCTCCAGCACCTCCGGCACAGGGTGAGGAGGAAGAGCCGGGGGCTTCCTCACCTGACCCCTCAAGCCTCACCAAGCTACCAATTATCACCATCACTCCTAAACACAGAGCCCAGACCTGCCAAACCCCTTTGGGAGGCACGCACACTGCACAAGCTGGAGGAGCAGGATTTATGGGACAGGATTTACTTCCAGGTCCATGAGAGCGGAGCAGGCGATGCCAGCGGCAGGATGGCACCTTCCCCCTCCCTGGCACTGCCACGGGATCCTCCCCCTCTGGTGCCATCACTTCTGGTACTGCCATGGGACTTTTCCCACTCTGGTACCACTGTAGGGTTTTTATCCCTCCAGTACCACTGTGGGATGTTTTCCCCTGGTGCTGCCATGGGATTTTTCCCATTCCAACACCATTATGGGACATTTCCCCTGCCAGTACCACCACAAGATCTCTCCCACCGTGGTTCCTTCTCCTCCAGTGCCAGCACTGCTCAGATGATGCCAGCTGGAGCGAAGACAGGGGTGACACAAAGGGTCTCTGCCATTTCCCAGCCGCAGGACAGGGGGGTGCAGAGGCTCTCACGATCCTCTTCTGTCTGGGGTGGCTTTCCCTGGAAGAGCTGGACAGCTTTCCTGCAAGTGGAGACACCCAAGAGGGAGCCAGGGGAAGGAGCAGCCCCTTGGAAATGGGATGAGCCCAGGGAAGGGGACACTCCAGAGCTCTCCTGTCCCCAAAAACAACAGCCAGAGGTGAGCTTGGCTCTCTTTTCTCCAGCAAAAAAACTGGCTCAAGTTTGATTATATTAAAAAAATACGATTTTTGCGTCTAAGGCCATGATTTTACCCTGAATTTCCATGTTCTGGGACTCAGATTTCCCCCTCTCCCTTGGGCCAAGAACCCATGTGGAAGAGAAGCCAGCACCTCTCACAGCATCCTGCCCTCTTCACCCTGCCCATCTCTTACCAGGCCATGCGGGACATGGCGTAGGTGACGTGTGGCTGGGGACCCCCCGTGAGCAGGGGTGATGTTGGCATGGTGTAGGCTCCCATGTTCCCAAAAACCAGCCAGTCCCCCACGTGCAGCTGGGGCAGCTCCAGCCCGTCGGCGATGCGATCCTCGGCGTGACCCGGCGGGCCCCGCAGGCTGCTGCTGTGCCAGGGGTGCTCTGGGCAGGGTCTCTGCGGGAAAAACGTGGAGCAGACACAGGGATGAGGATGTCCTGGTGGCACAGTGACCCCAGAAGCTCAAGGACTGGGTACAGCTGGGTGTTGGCTGAGGTGATGCCACCCAATGTGAGGGACACCCCGGGCTGTCCCCAAGCCAGGTGAGCCCCTCACCTTGTGCAGCCGAGGCCTGGGGCAGGGGCTGTCGAACAGGAGGCAGCTGAAGGCGCCGTAGATGCCGTCACTGAGGTGATACACCAGGTTCTTCTTGCTGCCACACTCTTCCTCTGGGAAGAGAAGTTGTTCTCTGAGGGCTCAGGGGAGCTTGGGGACACAGGGGACACATCCTGCTGTCACACCTACCATCAGAGCCAGGCTGCTCCATGGGGATCTCCTCCAAGGCAGTGATGCTGACAGCCAAGGTGAAGGCAGAGGTGACGTAGTAACGCCCAGGCCTGGCAACAATGTCCACCCCACTGCCCTCGGGGAAGTACAAATCCAAGGCAGAGTTTATCCCCACAGCCATCTGGGAGGGAAGAAAATGAACCTTCCTCTTGGTTAGCTGGGAACTCTGCAGGGAGCCAGACCTGGGGAGAGCTCCCAGGCTCATTCTCTGCATGCTGAGGGCGGCTGTTGGGAGGTTTGTACCTCTTCCAGCAGGGCTGTGGTGTCCTCGGTGCCAGGGAACCCCCCACCGATGTCCAGGAGGTTCATGTGGTGTCCCAGCTCCGTGCCCACATCAAACACCAGCTGTGCTGCGGCCACAGCCTGGGCCAAGGCCTGTGGCTCCAGCACACGGCTCCCGAGGTGGAAGCTGAGGGCACAGACCCCGTCTCAGCAGGGTTTGATCATCCCCAGAGCAGAGGGGACATGGCACTGGGATTGTCATTCACTGGGGGCAGCTTCCCACACACCACCCAGAGCCCCACAGAGCCTTTCTTAGGGTCAGACCTGCCCCAAATCTTGGTCCCAACAAGGTCAAATCCCTGCCTTCACCTCACTCCCAAGCACAACTGCGTTGTTCCAGCAGGGCAGAGCTGCCCAGATCCCGATCCAGAGGGGCTGAGCACCCCTATGGAAGAAGGCCCATGGCTGTACCTGATGCCAACAACCTCCACAGCCTGTTCCTTCGCTGTCTCCAGCAGGTGCCGGCAGGATTTCAGCGTGGTCCCAAAAGTCATGCTCGGGTGGGCACAAGGGATGGAGTCAGCAGTGATCCCCAGCAACATCCTGCACCACAAAGCCACACTGTGTTGAGAGGTCTTGTAAGAAAAAGCCTTTGAGGGCTGGAAAAGCCCTCAAAGATCTCTGAGTCCAAATATTTACCCCAAGTCCAGCACTAAATCATGTCCCTGAGCACCACATCTGTAAGTTTTTTGCATGTTCCCAGAGATGATGATTCCACCCCTTTCCTGGGCAGCCTGTTCCACTGCCTGATCACCCCTTCAGTGATCAAATTTTTCCCCATATCCAATCTAAAAATCTAAAATCTAAAAAATTTTTCCCCATATCCAATCTAAAAATCTAAAATCTAAAAAAATCTAAAATCTAAAATGTAAAATCTGAAATCTAAAATCTAAAATCTATAATCTAAAAAAATCTAAAAAAATTCTAAAAAAGTCTAAAATCTAAGATCTAAGATCTAAAATTTAAACTTCCCCTGGCACAGCTTGAGGCCATTTCCTCTCATCCTATCGCTTGGGAGAAGAGACCAACACCAACCTTGTATGACCTCCTCTTTCCCCCCACAGCCCCTTGCCCGTCCCCTCCTCCAGCACCCACGCTGGTGGCACTGCCAGACACCCACCTGGCCCGGGGGTGGCTCCTGGCCACCTTGCTCAGCTCCACCTCGTTGTCAAAGGCCATCAGCCTCACGCCGTGGCTGGCCGCGTACCTGATGTGAGCGACCTGCTTGCAGGGGCTGCTGTAGAAGATCCTGTCAGCTGGGACCCCAAGGTTTTGAACCCGGGTGATCTCTGCCTGCAGGGAGAAGGAGACATGTGCAGCAGGTCCCCAGGAGATGGGTGTGGACCAGCCACCAGCTCTGGGTCTTGGCCTGCTTGCAGTGCTGAGGAGGGCAAAGCGCCAGCCTTGCAGCCTGGGCTTTTCCAGGGAAAATATCAGAGCTCAAAGGGATCACAGTGGACTTTGTCCTGGCATGGACAGGTTTAAAAACACCATGAGAATGGGAGAAGAAACAAGTGGGGTTAGCAGGCCTGGGGCTGACCCCTACTCTGAGCTGTGACAACTCCTGTACTTTCTCCTCCTGGAAACACATCCTATTTAATTACATAAAAATAAATTATTTAATTTTAGCTCCTCCCTGGAAATCTGGCTGCTGCAAATGACAAGCAGGAGGGAGCAAAAAGCTTTAGGCTCAGCCCTAAGGACACCAAGAGTTGGCCAGGACAGCAGCCCTGGAGCCAGGAATGTCAGCCAAAGGGAACAACACAGAGGGGACAAGGATTTCTGGGCTGTGACAGCAGAGGGAGACTCCTGCCCCTGTCAATGTCACCTAGAGCAGAGACTTAGGAAATGAGGGTGAGCTCTGCCACTCCCCCACAAACATTTCCCCTGGAGCTGTCCTCCCACAGCCCTACCTTGTTGGCACAGGCAAATCCTGCCCCCAGCTCTGCCAGCAGCCGAATCACCCCTTCACTGCCATTGCATTTAACTGGGAAATAGGGTTTCACTCGGGGCAAGGCCTTCAGGAAACACAGGTGTTTCTTCACGATGTCCCCAAGGTCTGCCACGAAGAAGGCTTGCTGGTCGCTCTAGGAGACAGCTGAAGTGAGCAGCAGCTCCAGAAGAGGCTTTTCCAAAGGCAGCAGCAGAGCATCAGCCCTCACCTCTTGGCACAGCTCCCCCAGGAGGTTCTCCAGGAGGTCTCGGGTGGTGAAGCCCTCCTCCACCATCAGGAAGTTGGATTCGTTCAAGTACCCGTTCATGGTGTGATGTTCTGGGTGTGCTGATGCTCGTTTAAAGCCTCCTGGAGTAGGGGATGGATTCTAATGAGACACACTGTTAAAAGGAAAGGAGTGTTAGAGGAAGGGTCCAGCAGCTCCATCAGCATGGACCACCCAGCCCACAGCCTGGGATGCCTCTGGACAGAGCTCTGTGCTGCTCTGCTCCAAACCAGCAGCTCAGCAGAGCCCTGCTGCGGGTTACAGCATCTTCCCTGGGGGAGGAGACACATTTCTCTGCAGTTCAGAGCTCTGTTTTGGCACACAGCAGCCTTGTCTCCATCAGCAGGCACCAGCACAGTCAACAACAAAGCAGAGATCCCTTTCTAGGCCAGGACAGGCCCCTTCACGCTCTGGAATGCAGCTGGATGTTCTGAGTGTTCAATGAGGTGAACATCCCGTGTGGATCCCAAATAGCTGAAGTCTCCTGAACCCACTTTCCCTGAGGACAAGGGAGGCACAGCACAGGCCACTCACTGACACCATTCAACCTCAGGACAGCCTGGATCCGTGCTGTGGATGCAGTTCCACGGCTCTCCCATGACACACGGTGTGGAACAAGGGCACAATTCAGCAGCACGGAGTTTTCTGGCTCATCCTAGCAGAGCTTTAGCTTTGACCTCTCACCCTTAGCTGGATCCAGCCTGGCCCATAATCCAGGGAGCTGAAGAGCTAGCAGGGAACATTTCCACCCCAATAACCCAGGCCTAGCTCCAGGGCTCTTCCAGGAGCATGATCTCTCTGATTTGAAGTGAGCAGGAGGCAGAGGTTTCATTTCTTGGAGCTGCACACCCCCCTTCTCCCCACAGAGACCTCCTGACAGCATTCCAGGGGGCACTGGGAGAAAGACCACACTGACCCTGGATGTTGTAATGCATTGAGCAAGCACCACCAGCCAATTCCAGAGATGGGGAATGGGATAAAAAAAACATGTTTTGAAGCTCTTACAGCTTCATAATCAGGAAAGAAGAGCAGCTCCTCCAGCTTTACCCTTCACATCACCAAACAGCACCCAGCCCACACTGGTCAGGCACAGAAGGGGTGAAATGGGTCATTCCTGTCAGAACTCATGCCCCAGCCTCGGACATGCCCTCCTTACCACGGTCCAGTTGTCTCTCCCAGGTGCCCTGCTGTGCTGTCAGGGGGGCTCCCCGAGGAATGCCAAGCTCCTGCAGCAGCCCGAGGTGTAGCTGTGCCTGGGGGTCCAGGCTCTCTGGGGAGAAGCAGTTCAGGGGTTTAGAGAGGGAGAAGCACTGACAGCACAATGTCCTTCACCCCCATCTCCAAATTCAGCAACCACAGGCCCTTTACAGCTCCCTTCTCACTGTGCCAGGCAAAACAGCTCTCCCACAGCCCCCCTCAAAGCCCCCTTACCTCAGAAGGCATTTAAATAGATTTTGCCATGGGTCTCCCAAGAGAATGAACCGGCCCCAGGGCCGGCTGTTTGTCCTGTCCCAGCTCCCTGCCTGCCCTGAGCCCCTGCAGAGGATGGGGGGGCTCTGCACCCCTTCTCTTCCAGCACTGCCTCCCTGCTCTACCTCCCAACTGTAGCCATGACAACCAAATCCAGCCACCCCATTGGCTGAGCCGCCTCCGAGCATCCTTCATCCCTTTTGGAGAACGCTCCCCCTCCTCGCCCACCCTTTCCCAAGGCTGGGGCTGCCCCCTGCAGTCACTCCGGGCTGGCACTGAGTCCCCGCAGCTCATCCCCAGCCTGGCAGCCCAGCCCCGCTTCCCGCGGCTGCGCATCCTGAGCACCGGGACCGGGAAAAGAGAGCCCGAAATACCTCAGAAATGCTGCTGCCAGGGAAACCAGGCTTCCTGGAGGTTAAAGGCTGAGCGGTGTTTGGCTCCGGAGAGAGGAAGGTAGTTGGGAAGATGTCAGGGACTGATGCTGCCCTTGCTGAGCTGCTGCTGGTTTTGGTGGGTGCCTCAGAGGCAGATCCAGCTCTGCCATCAGTGCAGATGCTCTGTCTGATCCGTGAGACCTGGATCTCGGAAATGGGATGGGCTCTGCAGGGATTTTTTAACTCTTGTTAAATGTGCAGGTCCCTCTCTGGTGTTGCTGAGGAGCCAATGTTCTGTCTGTGGAGGGGTGGCTGTCCCCACTGAGCAGGGAGTGAGAAGGACAGACTTAGCCTGGGTTTCTGTATTCAACACTGTGGTCTTGGCTTTGCCACAGACTCTCCTGGCAACCAGGGCCAGGGAAGCTCTTGTCTGCTGTGAGATCCTGGCTGGCTTTGCCTGTGATCTGGCCCATCACCAGCACTGGACTGTGCTGTGTGGGATGTGGGGATCATGCAGAAAGGCTGGGAGAGCAGAGCCCTGCAGTTCCTCCTGGATGCACTGGGCAATGTTGTGATGCACAGCCCACGAAGAGCAGGACACTGAGCCCATCCCACACAGCACCAGGGCAAGCACAGCGCAGAATCACAGAATCAATTAGGTTAGAAAAGATCTTTGAGATCACCAAGTCCAGTTGTGACTGGACACCACTGTGTTAACTGGACCACAGCACCAGGTTCCATGTCCAGTCTTTCCTTAAACACTTCCAGGGGTGGTGACTCCACCACGTCCCCGGGCAGCCCGTTCCAATGTCTAATCTTCCTGTGAAGAAATTCTACTAATGTCCAACCTAAACCTCCCCTTGCGCAGCTCTCCCCTTTCCTCTTATCCTGTCACTAGCTGACTGGGACAGAAACCCTACCCCAACCCCAACGTGGCTCCAAATTCCTTCAGGTAGATACAAAGAGTGATAAGGTCACCCCTGAACCTCCTTTTCTCCTGGCTCAGCTGCCCCAACTCCCTCAGCCGCTCATCAGACTTGTACTCCACCCTCGTTGCCCATCTCTGGCCATATTCCAGCAGCTCAATGTCCTTCTTGAACTGAGTGACCCAGAACTGGACGCAGCACTCGAGGCGCGGCCTCAGCAGCGCCCGGGACTTGGGGACAGCTCGGGGCAAGCGCGGCGACACCGAGCGACCCACGTGGCGCCGCAAAGCCCCGCCCACCGCGGGGTATGACCACGCCCACTTCCGCCATAACCCCGCCCACTCAAGGTGAAACGCGCGCGGGCGCTCGCCTATTCCCGCTCCTCATTTGCATAGCCCCGCCCTCCGGCGCTGTCCCCGCCCACGA